ATGCTTGGTTTTCTAGAACAACAGGATGAAGCAGAAGTGGTGCAGGCAGATCATAAACCTTTTGTCGCAGAAGCAAACTCAGTGGAAAGGTTCATGTACGAAGGAAATTATGGACATGTCAGGGTAGTCCAAGATGGAGAAGAAACTCAAATTGTTGCACAGAGCAAAGAGCCATTTTCAGTTGATGCATTTACTAAATGTTCAGTCAAATGATGTCAAACATAGTGGCCCTAGAGGAGCCAGTACTTGGCAAAAAGGTAATAGGAGTTTTAAATGAGTTGTAAACAACAAGGGCAAATGGCCGATGTTCAGGCCTTCAAAGACAAGTTAATGACTTTCAATAAAGAATGTAAAGACAAGATGAAAGAAGAAGCAGCCTTGAAAACATTGTGAGACAAATTGACAGTGTTCGAGTTGGAACAAAGTATTGGCCGAGAAGTCAACAAGGTGGATTGTTTAGAAGATGAATTGCCTATAAAGGACATGAACGATGAAGTGATGGGGATCACCAAGCCTAGATACGCTCAAGCACAAGACCCTCTGATTAAAGTGAATATTGGCAATGAAGGGAAATATCGCCCAACATTCGTCAGCCATATGCTCGATCAAGAGGTTAGTGATAAATTAATCGCTTTATTAAAGGAATATAAGGATTGTTTTGCTTGGGAATATAAACATATGCCTGGTTTAGATAGAAATTTGGTGGAACATAGATTGCTAACCAAGCCAAATTTTAAACCTCATAAGCAACCTCCTAGGCGTTTTACTCCTAATGTACTTCCTGAAATTAAGAAAGAAATAGAGCGATTATTAAAAGCAGGATTTATTAGAACAGCCAAATATGTCGAGTGGTTGTCCAACATCGTGCCAGGACTAAAAAAGAACGGTAAATTAAGGGTGTGCATAAACTTTAGAAACCTAAATATAGCAACGCCCAAAGATGAGTATCCAATGCCTACGGTAGATTCTTTAGTAGATTCGACTGCCGGACACGTAATATATTCTTTTATGGATGGGTATTTAGGATACAATCAAATTTACATAATTGAGGAAGACATACACAAAACTGCCTTCAGATGCCCTGGATCTCTAGGATGTTTTGCATGGGTAGTTATGCCTTTCGGCCTGAAAAATGTAGGAGCGACTTATCAAAGGGCAATAAACTTGATTTTTCATAATATAATAGGCAAGTTTGTTGAGGTGTATGTAGATGATATATTGGTCAAATCTATTAAAGAAGATGACCATTTTAAACAATTGAGATGTTCATTTGAGCGAATGAGGCAATATAAACTAAAATTGAATCCCTTGAAATGTGCATTTAGTGTTAATGTAGGAAATTTCCTTGGTTTCCTA